CGGCGGCAGCGGGAAGCAGCGGACAGCTGGAGGGTGTCGTGCTCCTGCACCACTTCTGTCGCAAGTGGAAGAGAGTTCAGCCTCTACAGCTGCTTCTTCTCCCTCCCCCGCCCCTTTCGGCGCTGTATGAGCAGTTGAGTTTGAGGCTTGCACGATCGTGCTGCCATTTACCTAGCGCAGAGATGGGCAGCGCTAAACAGAAAGTCTTCTCTAAAAGGCAAAGAGTGCGCTCGCTGTGGTTATCCTTAGTGAAGTTAGCAGCCTCTCCTCGTTCGTCAAGCAGCAGCTGCTGGTATGCCGACAATTTAAGTTAGAGGGAAAAGAATTCTCCTTAAAGAGTCAAGATAAAAAGGTACAGAGCCCAAGAACATGTTGGTTCTAGAGAGAAATGGATTTTATGGGACAGGCACAGTGCAGCTGCAAGGCATTGTGGAGTAACGAATCCCTCTCTACTCAGGAAGTCCTATCAGGGAGTCCCTGTAAGACAAACTGCAGTCAAACGGTCCTGCTGACAATAAAAGAGGCCTGGAGACAACAGGACGGGCAGGAAAGAAGCCTTTTAACAACTCTTTGTTGTTTGTTTCTGGGGGGCTTTTTTTGTTGTTTGTTTGGTTTGTGGGTTTTGTGGGTACTACTACTTTCCTGGTAGTAGTTTGGTAGTTTTAGTTAAAAGCAGCCAATTAGTACCACAGCAGAGCGTTCAGGGCAGCTGTTCCTAAACACTTGCAACACCTAAGCCTTAACTTCACCAATGAGATCAGGATCAGAAAAGAAGCACTACAAAATAATTTTCTTTAGAGCATTTTAGACATTAATTTTTATATTAGAATGTGAAAATTTAGAGTTATATTCTACTACTCAGACTTGGAAGGAATATGAAAGCATTTAATTGGGGTCCTACCACTTGCTAATGCAGAACTCAATATATTGCTTTTGCAATGTCAGCAGTACTACAGTCTAGAAAGCAACACTGAATGGCAAAGAACAGGCTCCTGTCTTATAAAAGACAACAAAACCAAATGCTGTGCGTTTGAGAGAACAGTAATGCTCAAGGAACATAACTTTCTATAAGGTTCAAGCCTTAGGAAGACATCGCTGCTGTAATTTCCCTTATGAGCTTATGTCATCTTTAAAAGCTTGTATTATATTCTGGAACTGCAGTAGCTTGAAGTTTAAAAAAATACCAAGACGCACAACTCTTCAGGATCACATTTTCTCCCTGTCATGACCGACTGATTTCACCAGCTATGGTGGAAATTAGAGTTCACACCTCAGCCTATCTCTCTACACCCAAACCAAAGTAAGGCCTCTGTAACACCCACTGAGACTGTTCAAGTTCAAGTAAGGTGAAATTACAATTTCACCATATGTTTTGCCATACTCCACTCTGGAAAGCTATTTTAGTCTGGCTTGAAGCAAGATGCCAACACAATTAAGGAATACTAACTAACACTATACACCCACTGTTGTAACAATTTCCCCCTCATCCAGAAATGGAACTGGCAACTTTAATATCAGATTTCTCTTAAAGAAAAAATTCAGCATAAGAAACAGCAATGCCTGTTCCACTCTGCTAGAGCTTGACTCAAGTAAGTCTAAAAGACTTGTGACTGGAGACAAAAAGGCTTGGAACGGAATGAAGGAAAGGAAAAAAAAGTCTTGAACCAAACCTAGACAACGGAGCCAGTGTTTACAGCTCACTGTTAAATAACTGAAAGACTAAGAGCACCAACACAAACCTCATTTTGAAACACAGCTTACTGATGACAAGAGCCTAACTGAGGGATTACTGTTACCACAACACAGGAAAACCAATTTATTCCATGGTACTAGTGTATCTTCTAAAGGGGAGAAAAATACCAGAACTCCTACCCTAGGACTTAATGACTTTGACATACTTTCTCAAACTGAAGCATTTGCATTATGTTTAACACCATACAAGGTATTTGTCACTGGGAAAGCCAGGAGTTCAGTAGATAGCATTTGCACACCCACTAAGCACATGGTCTGAAAAACAAATTCAGCAGCAATACTGCTCAACATTTCAGTTAGCCAGTACCAGAAATAGATTAACTTTTCCAGTATTTTAACCTTCAAACCAGCAAAGCAACTGCTTAAATAAATTCAAGAATTCAGTTTGAATATTACAAGCAGTAGTTTGTAAGCAAAATCTGGGTATCCTTTTATAGAGGGACGTAGCTACTCTTTCTCTAGAAGCATGCTTTTTCACCAAACATTCAATGTGCAAAAGGACAGCTTACCAACAATATGACATTCTATGGGTGTATGTATTTATTTTTATAGCAGGTAAGTAGGGAACTAGTAAAATACACGATGCTATTCAGACTCTTTATAGACCCATGCAGTACAATACATACCCCTTCTTGCTTTGTGAATAGGTTGAGGCAGTCAGTCAGGGCCTCACATGTTTCCTGGGATACTTCAGAGACCATATCAAGTTTTTGCAAGAGGGGAGAAGATATTCCTGAAAGTACAAAAAAGTAGTAGTGTTGGGGGACATTGTAAACTACAGGATTTTTCCAGTTATTATTTTCTCTAAGTAATACAGACATAACATTCATATTCTACAAGAAGGCTGATGCAATGTAAGATCTGTGTGTGGCAAGGGCAAGCAAAAGCAGCACTGAGGGAACAGAAGTTCTTTCTTCTGCATCCTTTTCCCTAGTATAAGTGGCAAATGAATGGATCTAGTTTCATCTTTCAGCATGGCTTAGAAAGCAGAGGTAGTAAGCTTTGGCAAAAAAGATACTGGAAAAGTGACTGGCAACAATCTCTTTTTAACTGCTTTCTAGATATAAAAGCCTCAGAGTTGCCAGGTGACATAAAGATACAGAACACAAACGATATCACACTGGTTTAATGCAAGTTAAAGTGTGTGTCACTCACAGTGCCAGCAAGAGATGTAGGGGGTTTTGTAGGTTGTGGTTGTTTTTGGCAAACTGTTGTGGTATTGCATAGAAAAGAAAAAGCTTACCACAGGTGCAGCTGAAGACTGCAGCTTGAAAAATAGGTGGGGAGTTACAAGGACACTGATCCACACAAGGGGAAGATCATCTTGTTTTTCATGGACTCATCTCCTAGATAAGTAGTACAGCTTGCAGAGCAATGCCACCTCACCTCCTGACCACTTACAGAAGGGGCTGTATGTCTAGAACCAGCAGGAAACCATAACCCAATTGGCTGGTAAAAATACTAAGTTCATCTTTGACATTTTGTGATATGCTGCAATTCCTCAGAAGCCAAGCAGCATATTTGTTGCAATTAAAATAAGTGTCCATTTAGTGGCAGCAGACTCCAGGATCAGTTGGTATCATTCAGTAACACGGGTGCTTCAAGTTGATGTCACACCAATAAGGACTAAGAGGTCCAGCAGTGATGGTTCTTGAATTTATTTTGCAGTTTATGCTGCTTGTGCAGGACAAGACACAGTACAAACCCACATGCTAATTGTTGTCTTTTATACCAAAGCCCACTACTGACTGGAATTAGGAGTCTCAACTTATATCAAGAGCTAGCACCTCTTAATAGGAGAGGAGCACGAGTGCAGGAGCAGGAGACACCTTCATTTGTAATAAACAGTATGTATCAATCTCAAAGATACCTCTGTTTAGAACAGTATGTTGAGACAGGGAAAGAATTTTACACATCAGGTCCCATGATAGCCATTTTTATATTACTTAAAAGGTTTTAGGAGAAGTTCCATGTGGAAGAACTTCTGACTCTAAAATCTGCATTCTTCTGGAGCCCAAGAACTAGAACACTTGAAGGATATTCTATCAACCTCACATGAGAATGTGGAGAGCTGCAGCAGTCTTCTCTGAGACCTACAGAGGTCACACATGAACCTAGAAACAGTTCACTGACTCATCAAGTAACAAACATTCATTGGGAGGAAAACAGGAACTTACTACTGCTATTGGCCAAGACTAGCAGTTTCCAGGAAAAAGATAGCATCTGGTTTTGCTTTACTATGGGTTTTGGTTAGTCAACTTTTTTTTTTTAAATTTCTAGAAAGAAATACATGTCTCACTGGTTCTTCAGGTCAGCAATACAGGGTTAGAGAAACTGCCCCTACAACTACCAAAGGGAACTTATCTACCTCACACTAATTTTCAAACTGCTTTTTCTGAAGAATTGTTTTATTTTGTTAATTAATAAGGCTTCCCAGTAAAACACTCAAATGTATTACGAAACCTTACTTTTCTTTGTGAAATAAAAGCTCAGTAAAAATTCACTTAGTGCAAGATAGGTTAACATCACATAGCAGTGTGATAGCATACTGAGAAAAAGCTGTATTTTAGACTCCTTTTCAGAAGACCAGAGGTGGAACAGGAAGAACTTTATTCCTTCCTAAACCACAATTCTGTTACTAAGACTAAGGATTTGTACAGAGAAATGACTTGTTCTCTAGTTTGAGCTTCATAAATTTTAGTAACTAGGACTAAGCTTCAAATAAGCACCAGTTAGATGTTCTTGCAGAATCCCCCCTCTGTGCGTTTAAAACATGAACACCTTCCATACATGTTTAAGGCATTAAACTAAGCAAGTTCTAATCTCTAACAGCTTGATGCCTGTGCTATTTTTTCAGCAGTTATGCTGTAAAAATCCAGGTACATGTCAATTTAAGTAATTATTTAAAATGAAGCCTGAGAAGTTAAAGTCTGGCATGAAGTTGGTGGAATATATCCCATCACACCATGCTTCCAGTTCCCTGTATAATTTTGTGTATTCACTTCATACCCTGTTTATCGTGCCTCAGCTTCCATTGTGTTTCTACTCACTACAAGACAAGTTTTTTGAGGGGAGAGCTAGAATAAGACAGCTAGCTCTTTGTATCTGTCAGGAGACACTTCTGCTCTGCATTAAGCTATCAGCTAAAGACTTTTTTAAAACCTTGAAAGTGGACTCCTGTGTTATATTCCTACTACTTAGTAAGGGCTGTATCTAAAGGCAGTTTCACTACACTTAAGAGCCACTAATAAAATTTCTTTCGATCAACAGACTTATTAGTTGTTTCTCCAAATTGAAGTATTAGCTCTTAGCAATTAGTATAACATTACTTTATTTGAATCTTTTTTAATGAAGAAAACAATTCTCCATTTTCAAGCTCTTAGAAATTTAATACCAGTAAAACTAAAGCATGTGCTGCTTAAAGAAAAACATTGGTTGCCTGGTAACAAACTGCATTTTAGAAGAATAAGTCTTACCTTTTGGAGCATCCAAAGACTTAAGCATGGTAAGAAAGTCTGCAATCTCTTTACTGAGTCTTTGATGGCATGCTTGTGCTTTCTGAAAGACAGCAAAGATAGCTATTTCGTAAGTGCCTTGTTCTAAGGAAAGTGTTTATTCTCTTAAGTATACTGAAGCTATTCTTTTCTAATTTGCAGAGCATTAAATCTTAAAGATTCCCAGTGACAGAGACACACAATCAAACAGAAGACTTTAAGCACATCACATTGCTGACTGGCTTTTCTTTAAATTAGCATAGCAAACCAAGCCCCAAAGCTATGATGGATATACTGTTTTTGCATTTTCTCCCTTCTTTATTAAAACGTTTGAAAATCCAGGAAGAGCCATTGGTTGTCTTATGACAAACCTAAGGCCAAAATATGCAAATACATAACTTAACTGATGTACGGCAAGTACAGCAACATGCAGGAACCAACTCCAAAATCATATTCCAAGCCTGCATTTGCACTTGGAGACAGTTATCTATTAGATAATACCATTTTCTTCTGTAGACTATTGGGATCTTCCAGCACCAGTTACCCTCCCATCTCTGTTCTGCCATGAGCTACTTTCAGTTCTTGTACCAAAAGGTTTGATACAAGCCACCTGGAGTTCAGTCACGTGAAAATTTTTGCATTGCAGTGCCAGCTTACCCTTAAAATGTAAAAGTTTAGAAGTACATGTATGGCAAGAAGCAAGAATTATCAAGGAAGACTCATTTCCATTGCAGGTCTGAACAATCACTGTACAAGGTATCTAATGCGACCTGAGGTGTTGAAGGATCATTTCTAAGCCATCCCATTGCATGTTTTATAGAGGTGGAGCTCTGTTATCCTCCAGTCTTGGTATCATCAAGTACAGTACACAAGGCTCCCTCTCCTGGCTGAAAATCTTAAGCAACTTTCCACCCTGCAGTAGCACTGGTAAAACTGAAAACCACAACCCTGTACTTATGAAGAACATGGCATTTTATATACACAGTCCAAACACTATAGTAAGTAATGCAAATTCAAGCAGCATTTATGCATCCATGGGACAAATGGATCATTACTTTTAGTCAAAACTACACTACAGTATTTCAACATGAAACGGTACTGATCTGCAACTGCCTAAATGCATGAGCCAGGCAAGTACTCAGCACATACTTTCAGAGTATCCTGTAGGTCTGTAACAGATACTGTATCATCTTCCTCATCATCGCTACTCAATTGTTCCTGTGTGCAGTAATGAGTGCTATATGCAGAGTGGTCTTCTATGGCTTCCAGCCAACTCTGAATGGAAATAAACCAGTTAATTCACATTTCAAATGTAATCCCCAGAAGGTAACAGCATACATGCAAAAGAACAAACTTTAAATTTTCTATTGATGTGAATAAGATATTCATTAGTAAAAGGAAACACCTTATTAGGCAGAAAATAGATGGTTAAAAATTGCAACATGTATTTGAAGACGAGATATTCTGTGGTCAGAGTGCCACAAACTTAACTGATAAAACTTTAAGCACATATCAGTCTATCCAAGGTCACATTAAAAAAGAAGTCACATGAATTACAAAAAGACCACAGGGAATATACTTTGCATCTCCGAGTTTCTGTTCAGACATCAAGGTCCCTGTTCTTATGCATGACAAACTGCTCATCAGGTCACAGAGTGGCAGGAGCTTCTAGAGGTCATCTGGTCCAACCTCCCCTGCTCAAGCAGGTCCACCTAGAACTGGTTGTCCAGGACCATATCCAAGACAGCATGTGAATACCTCCAAGGCAGAGACTCCACAACCTCCTTGGGCAACCTGTGCCAGTGCTCAGTCAACCCTCACAATTTGCAGGTTCAGCGGGAACCTGCTGTGTTTCAGTTTGTGCCCATTGCATGCGGTCCTATCATCAGCCACCACTGAAAAGAGCCTGGCTCCATCTCTCTTTATACCCTTCCTTTAGGTATTTACAGACATTAACAAGATCCCCTTGAGCCTTCTCTTCTCCAGGCTGAGCAGTACCAGCTCTCTCAGCTATTCCTTGTAGTAGAGATGCTCTGATGCCTTTAATCATTTTTGTGGCCCTTTGCTGGGCTCCCATCAATACATTCATATGTCTTGTAGTAGGGAGCCCAGAACAGGACAAAGCACTCCAGTCACCCCATCTCTACTTCATCTCTCATTAGTAACTACATTACAAATAGCCATAAAAAAAAAAAAAATCTTGTTTCAGACTCACCTTTTAAGAAAATATAATTTATTAGGTCATCTAGGAGAATGGCTGAGTGAAATCATAGAATACTTTGGGTTGGAAGGGACCTTTAAAAGGTCACCTAGTCCAACCACCCTGCAGTGAGCAGGAACATCATTAATCACATCAGGTTGCCCATAGCCCTGTCCTGTCAGACCTCAAATGTTTCCAGGGATCAGGCTTCTATCACTTCCCTACATTATTTTTTTTCAGGATAATAAACTATGAAAGTGCAACAAGAAGGAAGTTGCAATAAAAATTAACCACATGGAGAAGTTAAGGAAAAAGAGGAAGTTAGACTATAGGACATAATACACACACAGAGATGAAAAACAAGGCAGCACTAATTTTAGAGAACAGAATGGCAATCTGTCCATTTCTGCTATTTAGTCTATAATCACACTAAAAGATTCAATATTTGCACTTACATTATCAAGTCCTGATGATCAAGATAGTGAACCCACTACTAATGCACCTATACCAAGTATTATGCAAATTATTCATTATAGAAGTTATTACATTTTAAAAACTTTGTTAAAGAGTCATTACTACCTCTCTAGTTTGAGAAGGAAGGCTATTTTTAGGAATCTTGAAACGATGAACAGTGTCATCAAAACATCTAACAGAAAAGAAGCAACTGTCTGTAGATTTTACCTATAGTGATGTGGAAAAAGCAAAAAATTAATATAATGAACCAGTAAGGAAAGAAAAAAAAAGTTAGCAAGGTAGAGAATTACTCTTAAATTCAAAGTTTTTGCCTGAGTTCTGATACGAAACAACTATAGTTTACAAAAAATTTGTTCAGCACAGTTTTGCTAAGTGTGCTGTCTGCATCTCCTGTCACAAATGATAATACAGAGGTTCTTTATGCCAAAATATTATAATTGCATATATTTGCACCACTTGATTCAGTCAAAATCTCAGCAATAGTGCAACATTACCAATATCAAGGAATGCACAGATACAGAAAAGCAAGAGTCACTTGTCATTTAGTAAGAGTATATAAAAACTGTAGTTGAACAGGATTTGGGGTGCCAACCATAGAACTAGGACAGGCTAGTTACAGAAGTGATCCTAAATGTATTTTCTTTAAACACGTTATCTTTCGACATATTGTAAATGAAGCCTGGCCCATCTTTCCTGTCCTCTGTTCACCCCTTCCAAAAGGGATTCCCATAAGCATAAAAAGTCACCCTCAGAATTGATCTCCAACTGTTATCAGCTGAACCTACACATTTACAAGTAACCAGCCACAGCTACAGGAGGAACTAGATTTTTGCTACTCAGTATCACATGCTCCAAACTGCTGTTGTGCACAACCAAGGAGGCATGCTTTTAGGAAGCCTTATTATGTTTGTTTAAATCCTCATTACTTTGGAAAGAACGAGTTTTATGCTCACTTTACTTGTAAGAACACTTCCCTTGTGAAGAATCACCATTTTGTGTGACAGCACAAGCTTTTTTTTTTTTTAAACAAAAGCATGTTTACCAACATAGCTGAAGTTTTCCTTGTCTAGGTATGGAATATTATCACATAAAAAACAAACCCAAAAACTAACCACCATCACCAAACAGTAGTTACAAGTCATTTTGCTTCCTACCGTGCAGATGGCTTGCGTTAGATGCTTGCATCCCTGACGATGATCATTATTCACTGCATCAGCTCTTTGAAAGAAAGAGATTTAATGAAGTGAAGGGAATTATTTAAATTGCTTTTCAGAAATTTAAACACTGAACTTACTGTCTCCGATACCAGGAAAGGACTCCATGTTCTAGAACTATCCAATAGAGTTTCCAACCAAAAAATCTTGAGCTCTAAAAAAAGAATTTAAAAACAAGCACAACACAAAAAGGCTAGGTAAGGTTAACATCTGCAGAATTACTGTTCCCATTAAATTTGATAGCTTGAAGACTATTACATGAAATCAGCAGTCATTAGCAAAACATCTTAGTTTTTACCTATCGTGGTGATCACAGCAACCTGAGAATATTTTACAGTTAAAGTGCTATTCTCTTTTCTGTAAATATCTGAAGACAACAGTTTTATTGAACATGCCATTCAGTAAGAACTAAAATATTCAGTGGTGCCCAGTGATGGGACAAGGGGCAATAGGCACAAGCTGGAATACAGGAAGTTTCATTCCAGTATGAGGAAGAACTTTTTTACTGTGAGGGTGACAGAGCACTGGGACAGGGTGCCCAGGCAGGCTGTGGAGTCTCCATCTTTGGAGACTTTCAAAACCCACCTGGATGCAATCCTGTGAGATGTGCTCTAGGCAATCCTGCTTTAGCAGGAGGGTTGGACTAGAAGATCTCTAGAGGTCCCTTCCAACTCTGACAATTCTGTGATTAAAATGCTACTGAAACATTAAAATATTACAGGGGTTGATGATCACCACACAATTATATTGTATAAAAATCAAATGAGAAACAAAACACATTAACTTGCATAAGCTTTAGTATATAGTTCTGGTTTAAAAACAGTTCCTTATATTACAATTCTTATACTACAATTGTGAGTGAATTCATAGGAAAATTTACACTGAAAGAAACTTCAAATAATTCATTAAGGAATATAAACATGACTGGCATCTTCCCTTTAAGTTCTAAAATTTCCAGAAGGTGGTGAACTTGTAGCAAAATATTAGTCACATGTTATTAAAGATATTAGTCATAGTTTATTAAAGATATTTATTCATGAAAGAAAAAACAACAACAAAAACATCCCAAAACTTTTTGCCTGCCACACAGACAAGAAAAAAAACCTTGCCATAGTGAAACTTTGCCAAAAATTTACCAAGAAATGAAGAGATATTTTAGGAACTGAAGTTAAGATCAGAGTGCCGTCAATTAGTGACTGCAGTGCCTGGCCACCCCATCTATAATTTATCCAATAGACTAGATTAAAGTCAAGTCATTTAACAAATGCATTATTGAAAAGTTCCCTCATTCATCAGCTCTCATTTAAGTACAGAAAAGGACCTACTGATGTACTTTCAGATCTTATATAACATATTTTAGAACAGGAAGCAAGACATACCTTCCATAGGAGACCTTCGTATCGTCTCAGGGGCTTGTTGATAACCTGCATAGAAATTAAAGCTCATGTAGGAATAGCTTCAACTAGACAGCCTTGGCATTTCAAATAGATACAAAAGTTCCTACCTTTCCAGTTTTACCTCGCAGTATCAGTTTCATTTCTGCACCTTGGGCTAGATCAAGGGGTGTCTGATCTGTTTAGTAACCAAGACAAGGCATAAGAATTTGATACATTTAAACCTAGACGTACTTAAAAATAATCTGACACCATGTTTACTCATTAAGGTTTGGTTCCACAAGCATCTGTGTTTACTCAGAATTGGGGAACATAAGCTCCTCAAGGGCAGAAGACTAAAAGGGCTCTGAACTTTAGTGTACTGAGCCGTCCTTCAGAGTTCTACTAGCCACAAAGAGGCCTTCGTTCTTACTTGTTTTTAGCTCTTCAGCTATATAAAATGGATCAGAATGTTCAAACATCACGACAGACAATCTTTAAACCAGATTACAAGTACACAGTTTGCATAACATTCAAGTAAAGTTTCCTGAATTTGCCTTCATTAGAAGCCTTCAGAAGTCACCTTGTCTGGCCCCCATCTTCAGCCTTTTAACGTTTTTGTTACCTGTGTTGAGGGTTTAGCACCACAAAAAAAAGCCAGGCACATTTCATGGTTCAGAAAGATAGCAGGTAAATTTTTTAGAAATGAGTAAGTTAGGAAAAAGAGAAGTATATATGATAAGTATTTCGTTACAGTCATTAAGCCTCTTACAATTTAGTCAGAGTTGGCTTCCTTTATTAGTGATACAAAGCTTGCAAAGCACTGTAAGATTTTCCCTGAACAATGAGTGGTAAGTAACATAGGTTATAGAAACTGGTAGATTTCTGTCTCCTCTTAACACTTCATTTACTTTAATTTGGTACTTACCATTTTTGTTTCTTATTTTAGGGTCTGCTCCACTTTTTAGAAGTTTCAATGCACAGTGCTTATGGGCACGGTATGCTGCACAGTGCAATGGCGTGTTCCCCATCTGATCTGTACAGTTGATATCAGGTGGCTTGGGTTTGTTCAACTGGAAAAAAGAATGTTTTGCTTACTTACCATTTTCCTCCCTCTCCAGATGCCACATTTGCTGTTCCTAACTAGGATGCTTCAGCGTAGATGTGGCAACAAAGAAGGCATTTAGCAAGGCCTCTAGCAATGAAAATGTTCAGCTAGAATTGGGAACTTCTCAGTCTTCTTGCTTTCCATACCCCTTTCACCTCTATTGCAAAACATGGAAACATCTATTCTGCTCAAGTGCACAGTGCCAAGGACAGTTCCCCAGCATTACAGTTCAGTCATTTACATTGCTAGGCTGGCCCTGTTCGAGTCTACTGTCAAAATCTACGGTCCTGAACAACAAAAAAAAAATCTCCCAGGCACAGTTTGAAAGGTTAGCTCTGGTCAGTGCCAAATCCTGAACAAGTTTGTGTGGCCACCCTGTTTCAGAGAGTAGGAATTTTCTGCAGAAGGGCAGCAGGCCTGCCAGTCTCAGTGACAGAGCTACCCAAGCCATTTAGAAGCAACTCGTACAGGCAGTCTGTTATATAAACAGCTTTGCTGAATTCTGAAGTCTAACTATTGCGGGAACATAAGGTTAGAGCAGCTAGGAAAAAAAATATAACAAAACATCAAACCCTGAGTTTTACTTGGACACAATATTCAAGTATCAAAAGCATGCCACTACTAACCACATTAAAATACCACCGAACTTCTCAAATATGTGGCTATTGGATGCATACATGGTGGCAGTTGGACTAGATGGTCTTTAAAGGTCCCTTACAATCCAAACCCTTCTACACAGTATCAGTCATTACACTTAAGCTTTCAAACCAAACAGGACACCCTTAATAGAAAAGCTGAGTTATGCTAAGCAGTCTTAGGAGGCAAGAGTCACAAATGTATAACAAAAATTTTAGAGGAACTCAGTTTAAGCCTTCTGCACTAGCTATATACTATCCTAGAGAAATTACTCCATAACAGGATTCCCATGGCAGTAACTTAAGTCAGTATCAACAGTAACCACTTTAAACATGTTTCAGAAATAGTCCGATAGAGGATAAACTGTAAGTACAGCTGTTATTTACTGTTCAACTGAAGAGAGAACAGAAGTCAAACCCAGGCAGTTTGTAGAAGTATAACCCCATTAATACTGAGGTCAAGTACTCAAGTTCATGAGGATTTCTAGGTTTTAGCTCTTTCTGACCAGCTGTTTTACATCTGTATAACTCCACCTCCCAAGTTCTTGCCTCCACACCTTTTAAGCCACACGCCTGTGCTTTCAGCAGCTTACACCTTGTTACATAGTAATATTTTGAAGAAAGTTTCATGCATCAACTGAGACAAAAAGGTTTCCAGTCATTTCAGTAATTGTACAGTACATTTGAGAACTCACAGAAAGAACACAGTGGTTTCACCCCAAGTAGACTAAAAAGCCTGGGTTAAGATTCAGCTACTGAAGGTCTAGCTTTCAGCAGCAAAATATATTGTGATCTAGTGAGAACCTTGGTAGAAGCACAAAAGCCACCACTACCATTTGACTTCAAGAAATTTCCATAGAAGGAGCAGCACATGCAGGACAAAGAGAAAAAAAATGGTCTAAAGTCCAAATAGAAGGTTTAGAGAAATTGTACCATTAAATTATTACAATTCACAGTACAGTCTTTTTTTTTTTTTGTAAAAATAATGAAGATGAAGGAGAAGTCACAATAAAAGGGTATCTTTCAGGTAGGCAGCACTCAGTTCCAGAAGTAGGGGAGTAGAGAATAAGTTCTGGTATGTTAGGTCTCACAATAAAAGCAGATGTAAGCAGCTGAACTTTCATAAGCATAATAGTGTGCTAATTTAAAAAACAGTAGGAGGAGAAAGGCCTGAAAACCAGTAGGCAAGGTATAAGGGTAGGAAAGTCAAGGAGCTTTACACCATAACACTTTAAGTGGAAAAAGTTTCTTGGACTTCCTCAACAGTCACAGGAGTTTTAAAACTGTAATTCTGTGGTCACAGGTCCAAGCACTCACCAAAGGATTCCAAGAAAATCTTGTTATACCTTGACTTAAAATTGTCTCGGGTAAAAAAATGTCTTAAGTAGTTTGAAGAATTTTGGAGGTAAAGATATAGCTGTCCTCACATATACAGCGCTCAATGATATCAAGTATTAAAAAAAAAAAATCACTTAAAATGAAAATGTTTACAGGAAGAGTTACACAGACATTCATGGTTACATGCCATATCAGAGAAAGCAGTTTAATGACAGATTTCTATGAGAAGGCACCTTTTTCCTGATTTTTCCTAGGTAAGTTTAAGGTTTAGTCAGCAGGCACTCAATATCAAATGCAACAAGTGTTACAAATTACCAGAATGAAGAACTGATGACTTATGCCAGTGTATTAATTACAATTAATACAATCAGGCCAGTGTATTAATGCACTATTCTTCCTCATCTTAAGTACTGTGTACAGCTGTGGCTCTCCATTTCAGATGATAGTACAAAAAGTACAAATAAGAATAAGGATGATCAATGTGCATGAAGGAGTTAGAAGGACAGGGACTCTTCAGACTACATGAGAAATTTTGAGGACTGAAATTGTGAAGAGGTGTTAACTCTGGCTTCTTGGCAGAAAAGTAAAGAATATCAAGTTTCTTAATACACAAATCCCACATTTGTGAATTTTCCATTAGAAGTAGGGAGTATTCAGAGTGCTTTGATGCCTTAAAATATATTACTAAACATTCAGCTAGGTAGGAAGTGTTCCATACTGTACATCTTACTTCCACAGAAACTCTCCTGGACTCAGAAGCCTGAGTTCAAGCACCAACACCTTGTTTAAAGTCCAACTGCATACGGTCCTGGGCAACTTCTAGGTGGTTCTACTCTGGAAACAGGAGCTGGACTAAATCAACTCCTGAAGAACCTTCCAGTCTCACTTTTTCTGTGATTTGCCTCTGTGATAACCATACTACACCATGGCATTGTTCAGCTTGAATTACTACGAGTGTGCATGCACACATATATACATTTTTCAATTCCTGCCCAGCATGAAATTGTGTCGGGCAGATGACTGCCCGTTAAGAACAACGGAGACTTTAGTAGCAATGGAGACTAATGACAAAAGCTTACTTTCAAGATTTAAAACAGGCCATACGGTGCTGAAAATCTAGGCTTCCATGGCATTGAGGTATCCACAGAAATATAACATGTTTACATCAGTAGATCTAGTACCATTACACTGCTATTTACAACTACCTAAAGAGTACTTAGAAACATGAAAAGCTCAAAACCATTGTTTTTCAGCCTCCACCAAGGAGGCTGGAAAAACCTTGAGGATTTGGTTTACTAACATAACACTGCACAGCACTAATGTTCTGAAGTCACAGCACTTTGAAATGCAAGGCCCAATGTCTCATGGTGTTACATTAACATTATGGCTTGAGCCACTTGACACAAAAGTATTACAAGCACTTCAGATCTTACCAAGGCAATCAGTTTTCCCATTTCTCCTTCTCTTGCTGCTCCTAAGAGTTCTTCTTCTAGTTTCCTTTCTTGGGTCCTTTCCACAGCTATTTGAAGAAAACACAAATTTAAGGTCAGTCTCAATAAGTACAGCATTTAAGGAACTACACTAAAACAAGCCTAGAGAAATAAGAGTTACCAGTATTAATTATTTGGGACAGGTATAGATGGCATATTTATTCAAAAAAGACTGTGTCAGAGCAAAAAGATGTCAAATATTATGTATTTTGAACAAGATGTGTGCATGTGTATACACATGCACAAATACATATATGTTTTTTTAAACATAACCCAACCCTGCTCCTTAGTAAGAGGTAAAACAGGGGAATTGCACAGCACACTCCATCAGACATTCCCTGTGTTATTTTCAGTTTCTCTCCTACTCTTCCTATCATCCTATAGAAATTTAATTCTTCCAGATGAATAGCAGATTGTTATCTGCACACTTGCATGTAGAATCAGAAGAGATCACTTTTCATTTATATAGTCTGTGGCATTGGACACAGAGCTTCAGCAGTATTTAGGAGTGTCATGCTACCATACCAGGAAGGAACATAATTCTTGAACTCTCCAAAACTATAAGCAGCAAGCCTATGTAAGTATTTGGACACCATCTCTGTCACTTTCAACACCTGTGAGGCAAGGAAGGAAAGGAGGTGAGGAGTTTTAATTTTTTTTTTTTTTTTTTACACCTTTTGCCATAACCTCTAAGACTGCAATAGCAAGTCCTAAAGTTGATCCAAAACTGTGTCACCTTTGCAAACTGTTCAGAATTTTGCTCTGCAATGATTTCGTGAAAAACAGACTTGAATTTCTCCTCTTCCAGTGAGCTAAGACCTTGACAGCCACGTACTATTCAGAGCTCTAGCAAGAATTACCCCAGCAAGACTGAAATAGGTACTTGAATAATGCTATTGACACTCACAATACTTAACTCCTCAAGCCACTTGCAGACATATTGTGGAAAACAAAACAAAAACCCCACAATCCTGTCAGTACTACAGACAAGAACAAAAGCCTAACTTTTTTTTTCTTTCTAGTGACCAAATTTAAAGAGAAAATTCAGTTGAACTGCTGTAACTTGCAGGAGAAAAACCAGTTTTTCAAATTTACAGGTGTTGAAAAAAAAACAAGGCTATGGCCTATTAAAGTTACCTTCCAACATATTCCTTATGTCTTTATCATGAGTAACTTCTTTTGCAGTCTCTCCACTCCCATTAACAATAGAAGTATCAGCATTATGCTGCAAGAGTAACATCACCACCTCCTGGAAAACAATTTGACAAACACTGCTTATGTACCTCTGTTATGGCAAGGCCACAATCAGGCTTTCCAGCTACTGACACCCTGCAAGATGAGCTGTGTAACAGCTTCTCACCACTGCTGACTTCCAAAAACAGGAAGAGATGTTTTAGAGAGATTGAAGAGCAGGAGTAACTGCAGCCTTCTCTCTCTCTCACATCAGTCAGGCTGAAGAAACTAACAAGACATTAGTTACAGCTGAACAGACCTGCTCTGATTTAACAGCTGGTGTACTTGTTATGAATGCTGAATTTAACAGATAAAAATAGAATGACTGGCTCTTTTGATAAAAGTAGGGACTCCTTCAGAAGGGCCAAGAGATTATCCACAGAGGTACTGCTAGTTTGGGAATGATGGTGGCACATGGTGAACAATCATACTAGTCTTACGTTATAGGACTATAGAAAGCTCTTTAGTTTTCTATGAGGAAACAGCACTTCCAGACACCAAACAGACCACTGTATCCTAGTTCATAGCTTCCCCCTCCCTCCAGAAGCTACTAAGACTACAACAACATCTTCTCTCTATGTAAATACACAGTTAGTCAGGAGGAACAATCCCTACTCTTTTTACTGTGTCAAACATACCAGGCACAAACACAAATTAATCTGCTATACTTCAGTAGTAGATGAAAGATCTTCACACTGGTCTCCACACAGTAATTGGCACCTGCAGCCAGAGGTAGTGCCGTGCCTCAGCATTTTCTCTGACACAGAGCAGAAGCAACATCGGTTACACAACCGAAGCTCAGTGCTACAGTGGAAGACAACTATCATTTCTCTCTCTGCCAGCAAATCTTCACCAACAAAAAGCTAAAAAAAAGTTACGACACAGTATACTAAGGGAAACCATGGACCAGTCTTCTCCCAACTTCAAGAACAGACATTTGTACCATGTTTTTGTTTTGGACAGAGATCTACCAGCTAGACAATGCATCTAGTACTTTTGAACATACTGTACCAAAACAGACAATAAGTCATTTGTAGACACTGTAAAAGTATCTTTTTGAAGTGATCTTATTGCTACTATTTCAATAATTCCATGACTGAGGCTTTAAAAAAGCCAACATACTTTACCTTACGTCCTGTGAAAGCTGCACGATGCAATGGAGTGTCCCCCATGTCATTCAGCACATTCACATCTGCACCAGCCTAAACAGCAAGACCAAAAGATACCTGAATGCCCTTCTAGCAAGAATTACCTATTGCCTCCTACTGAGGGGAAGAGGAGGACAAGACATGAGTGTAGACCTCATGGCAAATCAGACCAAAATTGTAATACACCCAACCTGGAGACAAAAATAAAGTAGATAGGCAAGATTCATAACCAGTGTTCTATAAGCTCCTTTGGAAAAAAAAAAAATCCTCCTGCATTTTTTCCAGGCATCACTCTCATTTTTAAGAAGGTGATATAAGGAAAATAAGTTTAACACGACAAGTGAGGGTGTTGGTTTGGTTTTTGTTTGTTCTGGGCCATTTTGTGTGTTGAGTTTCTTTTTGGGGGTGGGGGGGAAGGTAGGTGTTGGAAAAGAAACAAATCAAATCAAACAACTTTAAGAACTGCAGTGTACTGTATAACACACATCTATATTATTACAGATGTACGAACAGTAGCACCAGTCTCCTAGTGCTCCTAATTTAAGAAGTGGTGTTCTCTCTAGTCAACTATTGATGTTCTTTCACTCGAAGTGAAAACTTCCACATCAGCATTAAGATGAGACCATCTGAAACTTAACCTTTCTTCTCCCTTTTCTCCTCTGCAGTCTTTGTCTTGAACCTCCCTTCCTCTTGTCACACTTTCTCTATCCCATACTTTTTGTCCAGAAGGAAGGCTGCTCATCACACTGCACAGGCACTGCTCCAGGAAACCAAGAAATCCTATCTGTCTTTAAGCATTTCTTTTACACCACTTTACTTCACCTCTCAAAGGGTCAGAAAGAGGGCAGGATGTATTTAACTTTATCATATACATTTAGATCACATAATTTAACCAGGTCACTGCTGCCTGCCTAAAGTTAACTGATGAACTTGACTCTAGTTCCAGAGCTGTTTCTGATAATACTTCATTGACTCGCTCTTTGAGCACAAAATCTAGGAATAAGGACACAGACACATCTGTATATAACTAGCTTTCCAGAGGTGCACAGCCTCCTTTATTAATTAACTTATCCTTAAATAATACCCTTTCAAGAACTCTATCAGCAAAGAAGAAAAGCATGAAGTCACATCTACTCTTCCAACTCTATAAGTATTGATAAGTGCATTAAGCGACAAAACTTTACCTTTTGCTCTAAGTAGCCCTCTTGGACTAAGAACTGCATTATACACTGAGCAAGCGTGTAGAGAACTTCTCTAAGACATCTCAACTTTGTTTCCTGCTACAGAGTCATGATTCTGTCTGGGAGACTTTATTCTGACTGAAATTCAAATTCAGATTATTCCTGACATCTACAGCAAAATCTTCCAAACATTAAGGGGGTATAATACCATTTGGATTGGCTGAAGCTACCCTCAGAGCTAAGGGCAAGAAAAATGAAATCAAACAACTGCAAATGCAGTGCAAATATGGCTATAAAGATAGAAATAGGTTAGCTTGGACGAGAAAGGTTCATCATTCCCAAGCTCATCACATAGTTCATTATTTCAAAAATGTTTGAAAAAAAAGAAGTCAAGCTGTGTTAGCCTGTGCCTGGAAAGAAACACATACCGATTACTTTACACAGAATTCTGGAAGTCCATCTAAGCAAAACATACGATTAGCTAACACAGTTTGTTGGGTTTTTTTGTGGGTTTTTTTTTTTTCATTTGAAACACTTTAGCCTTCCCTACAACTCAGTAAGTGATGTTGCCTAAATTATATACTTTATGTACTACAGCAAGCTAGATGAGGCCCTTGAAGCACTTGCTAGTATCAGAGGCTTGGTTACTATTAGGCAGATATCCACTAAGCTTGAAAAAGGCTGAAGCTTTCACAGGTGCATACCTATATACTATACATCTTTAATTTCTACATTCAGATGATTACATGAACACATATACTCCATGCAAAAGCTTGCTACATACTGATAATTGTAAGCACTATTCAGGCTAACAGCTGAATACTGCTGTATAGGTTTCCAGTGTCACTATTTTGGTTCCTTATAAACTGAGATGATCTTAACACCACAGCTATTTTATTGCTCAGTTTTAGTAATCAGTAACCCCTATGTTACAGTAGATAAACTGCAGGAATGGCTCTGCCTCTCTACAAAACTGCCATTCTTCTATCACAAAAACCTGAATAAATGCTAATTGCTTCCAGTATAACAAAGAATTTTCTGCCTTACACACAGAGGCAAGTAGAAATATACCTTCAGCAAATCCTCTACCACAACAGCATGTCCAAAGTAGCACGCAAGGTGAAGAGGTGTCCAACCCATATTAGATTTACTTCTGCCTAAAAGAAAAAACAGGTACATTAAGTTTTGGTCACACAATACAAAAAAGATCTTCTCATGTGCTTGGACGTTGGCACAGATGATCATTCTTCACAGCAAAAGAAGAGGCAAGGAGGCTGGAAGCACAGTACCATTCACATCATCTGAATTACTGAATTGGGATACAGTTTGAGAATGTTCAATTAAAATCTACAAAATCTTGCTGAAGTAAGTCATGAAGTTTGATGGAGAATAAAACTTGTTTTTATGCAATATCTTATTCTTCAACAGCAGCAAGAAGCTTTAGTTATTTTCATTCGCTACACAAAACAGCACATGCAAGTATGCATTTCTCGTTTCTGAAAAACTGGTTCGTTTACCTCATTTTATTCCTGCATACAAATGAGAGGGAGAACAATCCATCTTCCAAACAGGTGATATGACCATGTTAGGTTTTATCCTTGTCTTGTGCTTGTACTCATTTTTAATAACAATAGCCTTGCTAAGAACCATGATTTGAAGTCTTCGTGCACTGTAGAACTCAGTAGCATCTGCACAGGCAGGAAGCAGGCACAGAAGTGACCATGCAGAGAAACCTCATTTATGCTTTAAAGAGTATTTCAGACATACCCTGGAGCACTGGCTATATGAGTCCTGGCTATATTGTCCTACAATCACTTCTTTAAAAGCAATATATTAAACCATTAGAGATTACTAAGTTAAAAACCCATGCTACTTGCCAATTATAACAATTATACTAAGCAAAGTTGATTTGTGCTTTGTTTTTACTAAGCAACAGACCACCTAAGAGCTACCATTTTGTATTTGGAAGCAAAATGAAAATAAGGCATTAGAAATTGTTTTGAAATTACTGCCACCATTAAGTTTTCCTGCTTCATATATCCTCAAGCAATGAGGCTTGGAACACGTACAACGTAAGTTTGCCCTGATAAGACAAGTCAGTAGGACACAGAAAAAGAGAACTTCTGGTCTTAGAAGTTCATCATTCTTTCTACTCTCACATCACAAATTAGCATCAGGATGTGGTTCACAGCTCAAGTATTTCGCTACTTCTTATATTTGTTTCCAGCTAACACTTCTACTCTTTATTAGCTATCTCCTCTGTTATTTCCTCTCTTTCTTTCCAACTCCTTCTGTTGTTCCAACCTCATTTAATTCCTTCCCCTCATCCCAGCCTGGCCTACAATAGAGTTCTCTCCCTATGTCACTGATGGGCTAAAGTACCACAGGAAATAAATACTGTGTGGACCACTAACTCTGGGGCTATGTTTAACATACTAAATGGACATTCCATTCTCCTATTCAACTTAAACCCATTTCCCCTTGCCCTGTCAGTGGACAGTCTTGTAAAAAGTCCCTCCACAGCCTTCCTGTAGGTTCCCTTCAGGTATTGGAAGGCAGCTATTAGGTCCCCCTGAAGTCTTCTCTTTCCCAGACTGAACAACCCCAGCTCCCGCAGCCTGTCCTCGTAGCAGAGGTGCTCCAGCCCCTGGATCATCTTTGTGGCCTCCTCTGGACATGCTCCAAGAAATCCATGTCCCTCTTATGATGGGGACACCAGGACTGGACGCAGCGTTCGAGGTGGGGTCTCACAAGGGCAGAGTACAAGGGGAGAATCACCTCTCTAGATCTGCTGGCTGCGCTTCTCTTGAAGGACACGGTTGTCCTTCTGGGCTGCATGAGC